ACTATTCTGTTTTGAGGGCTGTAAGAAAATTGCAGCGAAAATGTATGCACAAAAGCGCCAAATCTAGCAAACACGCCCATTTAACAGCGCGCCAAATCTAGCATACGCATTGATTTCAGATTGCGTAAGTTTATATAGTTCTATATTTCTTAACACGACATTGAAATACTAGTTTAATTTTTAAATCCTTTTTTGATATCCTGTGGATTTAACAATTTGGGAATTGACCATGATGAAAAGTCGGAAATAGAATTTTGGGTACAGTGCAGAATCACCCACTGCTTGATGCGTTTTTAAGAATTGCACATGCTCGGTATCCATGTACACATCGACCCTATTTTCACTTTAAAAAAAAAAAAATCCTAGAATTGCACGCAAAAATGGCACTGCACACACCCTTGACTTTATCTATGTACACATCGACCTATTTTCACTTAAAAAGTATCAAATCCAGAAATTGTATGACAAAAATCCAATTGTTTTTACCCTTGTAAAAAGCGGCAAACAAATAAGTGAGGCGATTCTGCACTTTACCGAGAATATTTTCAAAGAAAAGCATCATTCATTATAGAAAATTATGTTTGAACAACCAACGAGATGAAATTATGCTTTAGCGATAAGTTGGTAGCGAAATAGCAATGCAGGCATCTATTCAGTTATGTTTAGCAATTTTATATAAATTATAATAATGATCTGAAATAGTTATTTACTCTTATGCTTCTATTCAGTCATGTTTAGCCTTTTTCATATAAATTTAATAATAAAAAAGTATTACATATGAAATTAACCTTTCATCTAAATTAAAACATCAATCTTAAGTAGTTATTTACTATTACACTTCCTTTCTTGCCGCAATTATTAGGGTTGCCGTAATTCTTTTTGGCAGCATTGGCATCAACAATAATTTGGCGATTTTTTACGGCCCTCAAAACAGAATAGTACTGAAATTTTTAATACCTGGAAGAAAGACTAACACATTCTGATATCTGTAATGAACAACTCTGAAATAAAGGATACGATACCTTTCCCATTCTTTTAATACAAAAATCCTAATTAAAGGACATTTATAGGAATTAAAAATTCTTCAAAAAGAAATGTTCCATGGAAAATTTTAAAAATACCCACATAACGAATTTCAGAAGCTGTGAAAATATTTCTCAGGGTTTATTTCTGTGTTGGATATTGGTTGAAGTACATTCATTATTTTGTGCTGTACACCATAAAATAGCTGCCAGTAGTAAGATTACCCTGAAGTTTCTGTAAGATATGGAATGAATGGGAAAGAAAACATTGATTGACTGGTTGTCAATGAAGATTTAAATGACTTCACCTCTCAGTAAATTATGCAGTGGCATTTAAGGATTCGGAAACGAGAGCTCATATCAACACTATGGAAGGAATGTGGGGTGTAATAAAATGGGATTTTTGAAAGAAATACCACGGACTGTCCGGAAGTAGAAAGAGTATTTTTTACTTTTACTTTAGTGAATTTATGCCACGATGGCAGCATACATATTCTAGTTCAGAAAATTTTAAACAGTTTTTGGATGCTTTTAAGGAATTCTATGTGCATTGTAGACAAAGAAATTTCTAAATCAGGTAAGTTGATATTTCCTTTTTGTGCTGCACAGGTTACATAACATGTATTTCCATTTTTATATTATTTCCTTGTTTTATTTTGATTTAAAATGAAGTTTATTGAGAAAAATTTTTATGCTATAATTATGTTTATTGCATTATGTTCTGGATGCTATTTTACTTGGGAGGGCACTGCACATAAACAGGAATGGCACCAGAAGATCGACAATTTTTGGCAAATGGGTACCCTGAAATATATTTTCCCCATATGTAAACATCCAAGCTTCTCTCACTTTCCCTACCTCCTGTTACGTCGTTCGAAAGGCCACCATAAATGGTGCGCCATGTGTTGAGAAACACGAGGTTACACTCTACTTTAGTCCTTTCCAAAAACCCTTTTCCTGGAAACTGGGGCAGGGCTGGAGTAATCCTGAACCCTTTCCGGCAGGTTACCTTTTAAAGTTAGAATTTCAACATAAAAAAAAAAGGTAGGCGGTTTAATCAGGCCTAGAGGAAAACAGAGGTAAAATTTTTGTAAAGCTAGAATTTACTGTTTTAATTCTGTAGGCTCATTGGGAAGTGCATAATAGAGTAAAAAATTTTGCCTATGATTAAAAAAATACTAGATTCTGATTGCTGTAACAGATTTAGCATTACTAAGGATGTGCCACAGGGAGGCCTGCTACTCTACAACTCCCCAAAAGCTTTTCTTGGTTATATGATGATTACATGCATATACATAAAAAAAAAATGTAACTTGACCATATGATATTTATATTATACTAACACTTTTGTCTATATTTCGTTCATGGTGGTACTTTTTGAAGCAAGTGACACCGTTTTGAAAAAGCACATCCCAACATTGCATGTTTTGCGTTAAACTTCCATAAGTGAAGTGAGTGCGAAACTTTGGTTGCGGTTTCCAGCTGCATGTTTTCTTGTGGCAAACATAGAGCTTTATTTTGGTGATTAAAATGAGTGCGAGTTTAGTGTAGCTAGAAAAAAAAAATTTTAATTTAATTTTTAAATATTGTGTTTATTTTTAAAAGTCTTACTCTTTAATATTTGCAGGAGGTTAAGCTGCTGCATTTTTTGCAGACTATTAGAACAATTTTATAAAAGTAAGAGTAAACTTTTGATTATGTCAAAAAGAATTTTCGATTCAGGAGCAGCCAAAGGATCTACAAAGCGAAAGCATGTTTCGATGTCCATCAAGCAAAAAGTGGAATTGCTGCAAAGAATGGATAAAGGCATATCCTTTGTTTCTCTAACCATTCTGAAATCTGTTTATCAATTTCACGCTGCTCTGCGGGGGAGGGAAGGAAACGTCGCAAGCGCGAAATGAACTGGAAGTTGATCGGTCAGCACTATCTTTATCTTCAGAGCAGATGTTTTTATTTTATTCGGCTTATAATTCCTTACTAAATTTATTCGGCTTATAATTCCTTACGTAGTTCATCTCGATTTACTCTACCTTTGATATGATTTAAATCAAATTCCTCGTCATTATAAATATCACGAATACACATCAAATAGTTTTCTGGTTGCAATTTTCTAATTTCGACTATGCGTAATGTATGCTTTACGCATGCGCACGTTAAAAGAAATGTTTAATAAAGTAAACAAATAAATATTAAGCTTTTTTTTTTTTTTTTTTTTTTTTTGTAAATTTTGATACCCTTTAGATCATAATTGCTCTTTATTTCATAAATTAAAGTTTAGTATTTTTAATTTTATAATTTCTGCATGCCATCTTACCAGATTTAAACTGATGATCTATAATCCGGAAAAACCGATAATCTGGAATCGCCGAAGTCCCGACAAGTCTGGATTAAAGACTTTTGACTGTATAGAATAAAGAGATCAGCACACAGTCAAAAAAATTGCATAGACATTTTGTTTCAAACAATTCCTTTTATATTCTAAAAAAAATCTCGACGATTTCTTTGAAAAATGAAGGTTTTTAAAAACTCAACATGCCTAAAATGTATGGACAGGTTTGTGTCGTGCTGTCATCTAGTATAAATAAAGACAGTTCGAAGTAACCTATATATCCTTTTAAATTTTTTCTGTATATACAGAGGAAATTTTAAGGTGGAAAGGGTGTTAAGGAAGATAAGCACGTGCTCAAGGCATCAAGGAAAGGAGACAACAAACAATTTCCCATTACTGGTTTTACCATTGAATGCACAGTCAGAGTCGTAGCTAGGGTTTTCAGTGCCCAGGGACAACTGAAGATTTCGCACCCCCTACTGCTTGCCAAGGATGGCATTTAATTCTAAAATGTCGTAACATCAGTTTGGCACCCCTTGGATTCTGCGTCTGGGGACAGATGCCCCCCTCTAGCTACGCCCCTGTGCACAGTGCAACTAAATCAAAACTAACTGAGAGAAATAATAGAGATAAAACTCATGTAAACACATGTAGGGACACCAAAATCTTAATCTGGCCTTGGAGGTGAGGCATACATGCCCTGCATGTTCATTACCTTAAATAAGGCTCAAAGAATTTTGGTCCACTAAGGTCATTTAAAATTTACTACTTAATATTCAGTAGGATGTGGAAGGGCACTGCCGATTTGTTTTTCTGTTCATTCCTGTTAAAATATTTAACTAAATACTTTAAACAAACAAAAATTTGGTCACTATAGCCCACTGAAAAAAGTAAAGTTTTACACAATGCACAAGAAGCTAAGGTTAATCTTCGGATTATGGTAACTTGCCGATTTTTTGGCGAAAATTTGGCGACCAACACTGCTACAGCAACCTGCTAGTTTTGTTTTGGACGCCATTTTGTTTTCACGAAGTTTTTCTTTTTTTAACTCAACATTTTTTCCAACAATCTGCTAACCGAATTACGCTTATACTAGAACTTTTATGGAACAAAAATGCTTAATCATGACGAATTAGGTGCGAAATTGGGAGAAAGTGCAGAATCGCAAACTGCTTGCCGCGTTTTTAGGAATTGCACATACACAGTATCATCCATGTACACGTCGACCTGTTTTCACTTAAAAAAAAATCCCAGAATTGCACAAAAATGGCATTGCGCACACTCTCGACTTTATCCATGTACACTGCTAAAGTCCTGGCTAGTAACCTTTAGCGCCTTACCAAAATGTCGCCAAACTACCTGTTACCATATTCCAAAGATTAGCTGAAGCTAATGCTTTAAATTTTAACACCCTGTTCCATATGTTAAAGCTATCAAATTCTTTACACTGACATCAGATGTTCTCATTCATTTTCAAGATATTAAAATTAAATAATATGTATACATTTACCAAGTATTTCTTAAAATAATATTAAACAATTTCCAACTTTAAAAAAAAACTGTTCTTTTTAAGCTATGCAATTTCATTATTCGATGATCAGTTTATTATAATGTATATTATAGTTTATTATAATGTAAGGCAAAAATACCTGTTTTTGGAAAAGAAACTACAAATATGTCATCATCCCTGCATCTAAAGTTCCGCACATTATCCATACTCTTCATTACAAACGTTGGTAATATGAAACCTTTATATTCATACAGTTTAAAATTCTTGTGATAATTAGGATTCGCGGAAACTAACTTCGCATCATCGAAAGATTTCGAAGTTTTCCGTTTCCTGGCAAATAAAACAGCAACAAACGTCCCACCAAACAGAACAGTAGATGCAAGCCTTTTGATTAATTTAAACTTTTTAATGTTTTGATGCTCCGATGCCGCAGTATTTAAAAGTCTACAGCTCACATAGTCCTTCATATAATTTTTAAATAAAGGCACAGGAAATTTTAAAAACTTCGAATACATCTTCAGTCTTATGTTCAATTACTAAAAAACAGCAGTTTTAGAAAACATAATTAGATTATAAATTCTGCATTAAGAGGAACTTCACAAATACATGTAAACTATAGCTATTTTTTATCAAAAGCCATTACACACACGACTCAAAGCACACAGACGTCTTGTTTTGCACCCGCCAAGTCTTTCTGCACCGATGGGCGAAAAATGAAGCTTAGGTGAGAAAGAAAGGTATATAGAAAGCAGGCAATTTCGTATTTCACAGATCGCATTTTCTTCTCGAGTGTCAAAGATGTAGAAACATCTTTTTACTCGACTTCTGATAACAATCTGGAAGGAAAAGAAAGAGGAGTAGTGTTGTAGAAGGTGGGGCAGGGGGGAAAGAGAGTCAGGTCCCCGCTAGCTGCAGCGAAAGAGGGGAGGGGAGGTCAGTGTCATTACAAGATGTAGCAGCGGGTGACAGATCGCAGAGTTAGTTTAGCGTGAATTAGTTTAGAGTCAATTAAGGTTGTAATTCTTATGTGGGTAGGATGTCACAAGGGATGTTTTTTACCGGGATGCGAGGAGTGTCTTTGAGAGTGCTAATAAGGCTACTACTGTGGGTTTCTATTGAATGAAAGAAGTTGAACGCTAATCGTTTAATATACTCTTGAATAAGTTCGATTTGAAGGTCTCTGTGAATGTAGGGGGCCGATGCTATTGGCACCAGCGGTGCGATTAGCCGCTTCAGCTATTCGCACCAACATTAACCACGCATGAGCTTTCAGTTGTCGGATCCGTCATTTGAACCGAATTGAAAAGAAGAATCCTAAGTCCGTGGACTGCCAAGTCTGTTGTAATGAGTCTTTTTTTCTTTTTTTTTTTTTAAGGCAGGTTACTACTCTGACTTAGTTCATCATTTTTAAGCGTTAGCGACTTTCAAAAGATTAGAAAGGGAAATGTGTTCCTTTCAACGAGATAGTATACTGGTAGAGAGCGTATTGCAACCTTCAACCGGTTCCAACATTAGTGTCACGTGACTGCTGCGCGAATTCCGAAAGTCAGGAAATACTTTACATTGCTTTCTATGGGACGAAAGACTGCTGCTCTGCTTGGTTACATAAAATTTAAGTAAAATGGTTATTCCGCTGCAGCGCCTACGGAGATGTAAAGAAAGTTTCGTGAAATGGAGGACTTGTAACCTTTCATAGGTAAGTTAAAACTTGCATGATTTATTATTTTATTTCAGTACTTTTTGTCATTTTACTATCTCTGTTGAATTGGTTGGAAAGTTTCAGCCATATCATATTCAGAAAATTGCCGCTGTATATATGACATTTTCAGCATGTATTATTAGCATCAAAATGTACTTAAATACTGTGACACTATTTACTGGAATCACCCTTTACAAATAATTGAATTTTATATTCTTTTTCCGTGTACTTTCGTTGAAATAGAAAGCTGCGCCAATTGGCGCTTAACCTTTTTTTCGCCAAGTCGTACGCGTTTTGATTTCATAAACAATTACTGCCTGCGATAAAAAAAAGAAAAATGCTATTATTAGCATTAATAATTATTGAGTAAAGATTGTGCGATATGTTTACTTAAATATAAGTTTAAAAAAAGCTGAAGATCTTGATTCATGCAACATTGAACATAAACAGTTAAACTGCATTATTTTAAAAAAAACAGATTACTTTTATAAAGCTCAATGCTTATCATTATTTTCTATAAATCAATTTAAAATAAAAAATACCTGGATTATAATTCTGTCTCATCTACGATGCTGTTAGAAATTTATTGTAATTGAAAAAATGTGATGTGAAAAACTTACCATATTTTAAATAGTATTTTAAAAAAAAGGAGAGTGAGAGAATTTTTAACTGTAATATCGTTTTGATTCTAATAATAAATACTGAGTTGAAGTTTGTTACCGTTTGATACATATTCAATATAAAATATTTGTTATAGTTAATAAGTATTGATACCCGCCATGACATACAAATGAGTGTGGAAATCAGTAATTAAGATTGCATTATTTTTGTTCCCAGTAATATAATCTCAAGAAAGAGAGTGCATTATTTTGTTCCAGTAATATAATCTCAAGAAAAGAGGGCAATCAATGGCATAAATACATATAATACAATGTGATTTTCTTTTTCTCTCTTAGGATGCAATGCTTTAAAATTAAACGAGATTTTTTTACCTTCTCAAATATTATAACAGTAGTGGAATTAATTTTTTAACGTTATTCAAAATTAAAGTTTCCATCTCAATTTTTTATTATTTATTTTAGATTTTCTTCCTAAAATTATTTAACCTAAACATCTTAAACAATGGTGCAAATAATTTAAAGCGATTATTAAAAATATAGATAAAATATTCAGGAAAAAAGGGGTTAAGTTATATCTAAATAAAATTGTAAAAAATCGAACAACCTAATTCGAGGCCGTTGTCTGCTGACTGCTAGCAGACGGAAATAAAAAGCACTACCTGCCATATCAAAAGCGGGCCAAACTGGCGATGAACAGCCTAAGCTATCACTCCCCAAGAGCGCCAAGAGCATTAGTCACGTGGTATATGTTGGAGACACCCTAGCAGACGAATTCTCTGTGGGTGAGCCGTCTACCTGTTATATGAAGTCGTTGGTTCCTTTTCTTAAATATATAAAAAGAAGGAACACATTTCTTTTATTTGTGTATATATTAAAAAGCCCCAGCGGTTCGTTCGCTCAAACGGTTGGAATAGTTTAAATGACTGATTTTGGGGAAGAGCGGGACTGAAACCTCTTTTACATTTTTTAAACTTCTTAGAATACATTTAGATTCAAATATGTGTTTTGCACAATCAATATTCTTGTTCATTCCTCTATGAAATTTTTCGTCTGAGAAAAGGTAAAAAGGTAATAAAAATTAGACACAGTATGTCTGCGTAAAAAATTTAAACATTAAATAAGTTAAAAGCAATAGAATAATCTATTAAATTAACAATTATCACATAATACTGGTTATTAACAATTTTGTATGCCTGTTTAATTTTTATATGGAAATAGTCTTCAATTTCAGAACACAAAAAATATTTCCAAAGGACTTTGAAATAATAGAAACACGTTAGTGAATTAAATTTTAATAAATAATGAGATATAATTTAAAAAGACAATAATTTGATGTAAGAGATTTAGGTTGACAAATTTGCACACGCAAATGTATTATCGGATTTTATTTCATTAATAACTTTGATTTTGAAATATGGCATTGGAACTTATAAAAAGTTTTATTATTGAATAATAAATTCTAGCAGTTTCATGCTATAAGACTAGGGTCTAAGTTTGCATAAAAGTTCCTATGTTAAATAAAAGAATCTAACTCTATGAATATGAATATAACTTTTTATGATGACTGTTTATGAATATGTCCTTTCTTACATTCAAAGGTAACATATTTGCACAATACCGTTTGACGATGTTTATGACCCTCGTGAAATTTTGCGATCTCGCTTTAATCGATTAAATTAAAAATTTTGATTTTCATACAGTTTTTTTGCCCTTTCAAACTTAAAATATGTGGAAAACTTGTTTCCACCCTCAAAAGGCAAGAAAATTGTTTTTGTGACATCCATCGTCAAGTTATCTCAAACAAATAACATGTAACTTTCAGTAACAATAACTAAAAATTAATTAACAAAGAAATCGCATGCAAGGAAGATAAGCAGAAACTGTTAAAAACCCTCACTCTCGCTCCCGCCTGTCTTATTGCAAATCTGCGTAAAATGCTTGTACCTTTGTACCTGGGCTGATTGCGTGCATGCGCTAACGTAGAGGCTATTCGGACCGTCGGTGCGATTATCCACTGCGTGAATGTAGGTGTTTGGAATATACCAAGGAGCATACATAATTTCTCGTAAAATTTTATTTTGCAGAATTTATAATTGTTTAATATTGTTTTTAGCTGCATAAAGGAGGGCTGGACGAAGTATGGAGCGATATAAAATTAATTTGTTTTGTAGTAGATAAGTTGCTTTTTCTACCAAAAAGAGGTCGCATAGTAGCTATGGTGATTTATAATTTTTGTGCTACGGAGCAGAAGTGGGTTCTGAAGATAAATTTTTGGTCTAGGGTGACTCCAAGGCATTTGGTTTCATTAATCCAGGCTATTTCTTCGTCAAATATTTCAGGGGGTGGAGGATAGTATTTCATGTTTCCCTTGCGGAAAATTATTGCCTTGGTTTTATCAGTGTTTATTTTAATCCTCCAAAGGGTGAGCCATTTTTCCAGTTTTATGAGATAGTTTTGGAGTTGGTTTCTTACGGCGATTGCTGTGCAGGCTTTAGTAAGTATGGCGATGTCATCGGCAAAGAGTGCAAGAGGAACAGAAGGGTCTTTAGGTATGTCTTGTGTATAAATATTAAAAAGGTACGGCGAAAGTGACGATCCCTGTGGGACACCAGCTTTGATTGCTCTGGTGGTTGAGTAAGCAGTACCGATTTTGATTCTGAATGTTCTGTTGCTGAGAAAAGAGTCTATTAAGCGAATAAAATGATCTGAAAAATTGAGAGTGATAAGTTTGTAAATAAGGCCGCAATGCCATACCCTGTCAACAGCTTTCGCGATATCGAGGAATATGGCACTGGTCGAAAGCTTGCAGTTGTAGCCTTCAATGATAATGTTGATAACTCTAAGAAATTGGTGACAAGTTCTATGATGATTGCGAAAACCAAATTGTTCTTCTGGGAGAAAATTCATGGAAGTGTGAATTCTTTGGATGTGGAAAACTAGAATTTTCTCAGTAACTTTAGAAAGATGGTTTACTAAACTAATAGGGCGATAGTTCTGTGCGAAGGTGGGATTTTGTTGCGGTTTAGCAAAAATAATTATTATAGCTTGCTTCCATGAGCTAGGAAAATGAGCGAATTTGATAATGTTGTTGATAATCTTAGTTAGGCAGGTAAGAGCGCTGATCGGAAGATGTTTCAGAGTTTTGGTCGAGATGCCATCGCGCCCTTTGGCTTTCTTCGTCTGTAAGGAGCTGATTGTGTTGTTTACGATTGTTGGGGTAGTCAGGAAAGTGAAGTTGTACGGAGCAGGGGTATTAAGGAAGCTTATTTCAGAGGAGAGAAAAAAGGAACTACGTACTCGACTTTGTTCCAGTTCGAAAGATCATGAAGGAAAGATGGGACAAATTAAAATTGAAATAAA